AGATAGCTGAGTTACTTATTTTATTCATTCTCTTTCTTCCTGTTGCTGCTCCCAAGGGTAAAATTTTTTGTTGTGCACCAATGTATTCCTCCTGGTTTTGATGCATTAGAGCTTAACACAGACTAGGTGGTCAGTACACATCTGTTGAATCGATGAATGAACAAACGAATCCCCCCGTTGGACGTGTCAGGAGACCAGTGCTCAGAGATGTTGTTCTACACCCCCGAGGTCACACAGCAAGAATGGGCCTGAGCTGGAAGCAGCCTGGGCTGATACCCTTGCTTTATTCAGTTAATGAGGCTGGATTCCAACATCTGTTCCTGAATATCTTCGGTGTGCCAGGTCCCCAGGGATGGCACTGGCCATGTAGCTATCACCCCTGTACCATGAGGCCACCCAGCCTTTATTGTAGGAAGGTCCTCTCACCTCTACGAGTGCTTGTTTCTTTTTTTTTTTTTTTTTTGGAGACAGGGCTTTGCTCTGTTGCCCAGGCTGGAGCACACTGGTGTGATCAGATCTCACTGCAGCCTCTCACTGCAGCCTCAATCTCCTGGGCTCAAGCAATCCTCCCACCTCAGCCTCCCAAGTAGCTGGATCTAAAGGCAGGCATCACCATGCCCAGCTAATTAAAAAAATTTTTTTTGGCTGGGCGCAGTGGCTCATGCCTGTAATGCCAGAACTTTGGGAGGCCGAGGAGGGCAGATCACAAGGTCAGGAGCTCAAGACCAGCCTGGCCAATATGGTGATACCTGCCTCTACTAAAAATACAAAAATTAGCTGGGCGTGGTGGCATGTGCCTGTAATCCCAGCTACTCGGGAGGCTGAGGCAGAAGAATCGCTTGAACCCGGGAGGCAGAGGTTGCAGTGAGCTGAGATCGCGACACTGCACTCTAGCCTAGGTAACAAAATGAGACTCCATCTCAAAAAAAAAAAAATTTTTTTTTTGGTATAGTTGGGGTCTCACTGTGTTACCCAGGATGGTCTCGAGCTCCTGGCCTCAAGAGATCCTCCTGCCTCAGCCTGCCAAAGTGCTGGGATTACAGGCATGAGCCACCATGCCCGGCCCAAAAAGTGCTCTTGATGGGCAGACATACTGTCAGTCCTTTTGACCTATTTACTTACCTGTCCCCTGCCCCATTGCTCTCCCACTTCTCCTATCCCTCTATGTCTATTTGGAGCTGCTCCCTATCCCCATCCATCTGGAGCCTGATTAGCACCGTGGTGCTTAGCAGGTGTTTGCTGAGCAGACAGACTTTTTCCTCCTTTTCAGATGAATGTCCATTTCTTCACCTCTAGAACGGGTATAGCCACATTTGCCTTCCTATGGGCTGGGAAGGTTCTATGACATCAGGCCATACAACGGGGAAAACCCAGCCCCCAGAGTCAGCTTTGAATGGAAAAGGAGGTTCATCTGCTCCTGCCCTCCTACCTCGATTAAGATTGGGGCTACCCCACTGCCCACGTGCGGTGCAGGGGAAGGTGAAGTATATTGCTTATACTGAGCCTGTCAGCTGACAAATACATTCTATTTTGTTTGAGGCATTCATGTTCTGAGTCTCAGTTGTGGAAACCCAACCTAATGCTCCCCGTGGGCCTGATGAATGTTCCTTGTTGTTGAAGCCAATTTGAGTTGCATTTCCTCTTACTTTTAGTGAAAAGCTTCCACAAAGGGAAGTTGGGGTCTTGCCCCTTGGGGTATGTGTTAGTTTCCTATAGTGACTATAACAAATTACCCATAAATTGAGTGCCCCAGAGCAACGGAAATGGATTATTATTATTATTACTATTTTTGAGACACAGTCTTGCTCTGTCGCCCAGGCTGGAGTACAGTGGTACGATCTTGGCTTACTGCAACCTCCGCCTCCCGGGTTCAAGTGATTCTTCTGCCTCAGCCACCTGAGTAGGTGGGATTACAGGCATTGGTCACCATGCCCAGCTAATTTTTTTTTTTCTGTATTCTTAGTAGAGACGGGGTTTCACCACGTTGGCCAGGCTGGTCTCGAACACCGAACCTCAAGTGATCCACCCATCTTGGCCGCCCAAAGTGCTGGGATTACAGGCGTGAGCCACTGCGCCCAGCCATATTAATTATTTTATAGTTCTGGAGGTCAGGAGACCAATATCAGTCTCACTGGGCTGAAACCAAGATGTTTGTTAGCTAGGTCATGCTTCTTCAAGTGGTTGTGGTGTAATAATCCTTTTTCTTGCTTTTTCTAGCCTCTGCAGATGCATTATTATTATTATTTTTTTTTTGAGACTCGCTTTTGTTGCCCAGGCTGGAGTGCAGTGGAGCGATCTAGGCTCATCGCACCTTCACCTCCCAGTTCAAGCGATTCTCCTGCCTCAGTCTCAAGTAGCTGGGATTATAGGCATGCGCCACCACGCCCAGCTAATATTTTTGTATTCTTAGTAGAGATGAGGCTTCTCCATGTTGGCCAGGCTGTTCTCAAACTCCTGACCTCAAGTGATCTGCCTGCCTCAGTCTCCAAAAGTGCTGAGATTACAGGAGTGAGCCAATAACGTGATGTTTTAAAATACGTACACATGTGGAATTGTTCAACTGCGTGAATTAGCATATGCATTACCGACCACACCTGCATGTTTTTGGTGGTGAGAACACACATTTTTTTTTCTAAGTTATTTATTGATCTTAAACTGACAAATAGGCCAGGCATAGTGGCTCACACCTGTAATCCCAGCACTTTGGGAGGCTGAAGCGGGTGGATCACCTGAGGTCAGGAGTTCGAGACCAGCCTGACCAACATGGTGAAATTCTGTCTCTACTAAAAATACAAAAATTAGCCAGGCTTGGTGGCGGGCACCTGTATTCCCAGCTACTTGGAAGGCTGAGACAGGAGAATCACTTGAACCCAGGAGGTGGAGGTTGCAGTGAGCCGAGATCGTGCCGTTGCACTCCAGCCTGGGTGACAGAACAAGACTCCACTCTAGCCTGGGGAACAGAGTGAGAGTCTCCATCTCAACAACAACAAAAAAACCCCTAACACATAAAATACTACATATTTGTGACATTATATGACATAAACATTATATGACTTAATGTTTTAAAATATGTATATATTGTGGAGTGGGTAAATTGAGCTAATTACCACATGTGCACTTCACATGCTTCTCATGTTTTGTGGTTAGAACACAATTTTTTTTTTTTGAGACAGAGTCTTGCTCAGCCGCCAGGTGCCAGGCTGGAGTGCAGTGGAGTGATCCTGGCTCACTGCAACCTCTGCCTCCCGGGTTCAAGCAATTCTCCTGCCTCAGCCTCCCAAGTAGCTGAAACTACAGGAGTCCACCACCACGCCCAGCTAACTTTTGTATTTCAGGCGTGAGCCACCGCGCCCGGCCGTAGAACACAAATTTTAAAATTGTTTATATATTTGGCTTAAATTGACAAACAAAAATTGCATGTATTTTTGGTGTTCAACGTGAGTTTTAAAATATGTATGCATTGTGGAATGGCTAAGTTGAGCATCATTTCACGTACTTCTCTCATTGCCTTCTACCATGTTTTGTTGGTTATAAGAGAGTCACAACCGGGCACGATGGCTCACGCCTGTAATCCCAGAATTTTGGGAGGCTGAGGTTGGCGGATCACCTGAGGTCAGGAGTTTGAGACCAGCCTGGCCAACATGGTGAAACCCCGTCTCTCGGAGTCCAAGGTCACAGTGAGCTATAAGCACTCCCTCCTGGGTGACAGAATGAGATCCTGTCTCTCTAAAAAAAAAAAAAAAAAAAAAAAAAAAAAAAAAAAAAAAAGGAGGAGGGGGAGAAGGAAAAAAGGGTTGTCAATGGGCACAAAGATAGATGGAAGGATGATGTTTTTTTTTTTTTTTTTTACTTTTTAAAAAAATAGAGATGGGGTCTCTCTGTGTTGACCAGGCTGATCTCAAACTCCTGGTTTCAAGCGATGCTCCCATCTTAGCCTCCCAAAGTGCTAGGATTACAGGCATGAGCCACCATGCCTGGCCAGAAGTTCTAATTTTTGATAACAGAGTAGCGTAACTACAGTTAGCCACAATATCTTATATAATTCAACGTGGCTGGAAGAGAGAACCTAAAGTGTCCCTAACATGTGGAAATGAGAAATACTCAAGGTAACCCCAAATAACCTGACTTGATTGTTATACATTCTATGCATGCAACAAATACCACGTGTACCTTGTAAACATCTAAACTATTAGGAACCAATTTTTTTTTCCCCTAGAGACGGGGTCTTGCTATGTTGCCCCAGGCTGGAGTGCAGTGGCTCTTTACAGGCGTGATCCCACTACTGATCAGCACAGGAGTTTTGACCTCCTCCGTTTCCAACCTGGGCCAGTTCACCCCTCCTTTTGCAACCTGGTGGTCCCCTGCTTCTGGGAGGTCACCATATTGATGCCGAACTTAGTGCGGACACCTGATCGGCATAGCGCACTGCAGCCCAGAGCTCCTGGGCTCAAGCGATCCTCCAGCCTCAGCCTCCCAAGTAGCTGGGACTACAGGCACGCGCCATCACCCCGACAAGAACCAAGTTTTAAGAAAAGAAGCCAACTCTATTTGAGTCCTAGCTGGTGACTCTCTCTCTCTCTCTTTTTTTTCTTTTTTTGAGGAACCTCACTCCATCACCCAGGCTGGAGTGCAGTGGTGCGATTTCGGCTCACTACAACCTCTGCCTTTTGAGTACAAGCAATTCTCCTGCCTCAGCCTCCTGAGTAACTGGGATTACAGGAGCGTGCCACCACACGCGGCTAATTTTTGTATTTTTAGTAGAGACGGGGTTTGCCGTGTTGGCCAGGCTGGTCTCGAACTCCTGACCTCAAGTGAACTGCCCGCCTTGGCCTCCCAAAGTGCTGGGATTACAAGTGTGAGCCACTGTGCCCCACCAGTTGTCATTGTTCCTTCTGTGCATGAATCCAAACTGGGGAGAAAGGCTGTGTGTGTGTGTGTGTGTGTGTGTGTGTATGTGTGAGCACACGTGAGATCTGGGGGCTTCCCCTAAAGATGAATTTGCATGTAATTTACTTTGAAGGGAAAAGGGAACTGAGAGAGCCCCCAGGCACTCAAGTAGGAGGGACAGTGGGCAGAGGTTGCCAAGCCCTGGCTGCCACTTGTCAGTTTCCTTGTGTTAGACATGCATAATCTGTATACCAGCGCTGGGTACCCGGACCCACCAGGTAAAACTTCAGCCAGGCTGGGACTGGGGCCTGGGTATGGTAAGGACCCAGGGTACAGAATCCCTACCATGGAGCAGCTGAGGGAGAGACCAGGGCTTGAGGGATGAAGGGAGGAGGGAATGGCTGGCTCTGACTTGCTTTTCCCCTGGAAGGGACCATGGAGGAGGAGGAGGATGAGGAGGATGATGACTATGAGAACATGGCGCCTCCCTACAAGGACCTTCCTCCCAAGCCAGGTAAGAGGACTTTTTGGAGCATGACCTGGGGGGAATGCAGAGAAAAGGGTCTTCAGGGGGTGTCGGGTGGGTATTGTAGACACATAGTCAGTTTCCTCTGTACCCAGCCTATGCCAGGCGCCATGCAACCCACACCCTGTCCAGGAGAATCTACCAGTCTGATGGTGGAGGTGGATTTGGGCACAGCTTTGGTGAGCAGGGCTGAGAGAGGAGGGGTCAGGAGATTGGGACAATCCTCAGGGGATTGAGGGCTCAATTAGAGGAAGGGACTTTGGGGTGGGACTTGAGGGATGATTAGATTCTTTCTTTCTTTCTTTCCTCCTTCCTTCCTTTCCTCCCTCCCTCCCTTCTTCCTTCCTTCCTTCCTTCCTTCCTTCCTTCCTTCCTTCCTTCCTTCCTTCCTTCCTTCCTTTCTTTCTTTCTTTCTTTCTTTCTTTCTTTCTTTCTTTCTTTCTTTTCTTCCTCTCTCTCTCTCTTTCTTTCTTTCTCTCTCTCTCTTTCCTTCCTTTCCTTCCTTCCTTCTTTCTTTCCTTTGTTTCGTTTTTTTTTTGAGATGGAGCCTCGCCCTGTTGCCCAGGCTGGAGTGTAATGGCGCGATCTCAGCTCACTGCAACCTCTGCCTCCCGGGTTCAAGCGATTCTTGTGCCTCAGCCTCTCAAGTAGCTTGGATTACAGGTGCACACCACCACACCAGGCTACTTTTTTGTATTTGTAGTAGAGATGGGGTTTCACAGTGTTAGCCAGGATGGTTTCGATCTCCTGGCCTCATGAGTCACCCTCCTCGGCCTCCCAAAGTGCTGATATTACAGGTGTGAGCCACCACGCTCGGCAAGTAGGTATTTCTTAAGAAGAGAAGTCCAAGAGAGAAGTGTTGGGTGCAAAGTCCCTGAGTCACAAAAGCTGGTGCTTGAGAGACTGGGAGTGAACTGTGGGCTCCCAGTCTCCTTACCTTCCCACCCTAAGCCCAGGTTTTATTTATACTTGGATCTCAAACCCAAGGCATGGCACACGGTTCAGTAAGAGTCTGATGAGTGGTTATACAAGTGGAGGTTTGGGCTGGTTGCAGTGGTGTGTGTCTGTCCCAATGCTTCGGGAGGCCAAGGCAGGAGGATCGCTTAAGGACAGGAGTTTGAGACCAGCTGGGGCAACATAGCAAGACCCCATCTGTGCCAAAAAGAGAAAAGAAAAAACGTAGAGGTGTGGGCCGGGTGTGGTGGTCTGTAGTTCCAGCTGCTTGGGAGGCTGAGTCAGGAGGATCACTTGAGCCCAGGAATTCTGGGTTATCGTGAAATATGTGATCAGGCGTCTGCACTAAGTTTGGCATCAATATGGTGACATTTTGGGAGCAGGGGACCACCAGGTTACCTGAGGTGTCTGAGGAGGGGTTTCCAGGTTGGAAACGGGGCAGCTCAACACTCCCTAGCTGATCAGTACTGAGACTACTCCTGTGAGTAGTCACTGCACTCTGGCCTGGCCAACATAGCGAGACCTCAGTTACAAAAAAAAAAAAAAAAAATAGAAAATGAAAGGGAAGTTTTTGAGGTTTTCCTGAGTTTACCGCCACCGGGGCCCTGAGACCATGAGAGATCCCAGGGGCCCAAAACACAAAGTCCCTCAGATATGCTGATGGCCTGGTCCTGGGGTCCTTAGACAGGGGCCATTCCACGAGGGCTGAGGCTGTATATCACCATCGCTGAGTCCAGTGTGGGGCCCCCTGGGAGGCCCAGAAGTACGGTGGGACTTGCACGAGGCAGGAGGTGAACTGGGCTGTGTTTTTCTCCGCCCCATCTCCAACTTATGGTCCTAATGTCACCCTCAAGCCCGGTGTCTTCATATATGACCCACCCATCCAAATCCCTTCTTCAGGGCCACATCTCCTCCAAAAGCACAGTCCTGTCCCCACTGCCACATGCAGCCCCACATCCGCCCTCCAATCCAACTTCATCACCCTGTCTACTGCAACCCAGCCTCAACTCCCTCCCCATCCCCAAACCTGGCAAGGACTCTCTTCTTCATCCTAAGCACATCATGACCCTACCCCACATCCATCCCTGTCCCCAACCCATCTTCCATCCCATCACACCCCATCCCAACAGCAATTCCTTTTTTTTCTTTTTTTGGGATGGAGTCTCGCTCTGTTGCCAGGCTGGACTGCAGTGGCACAATCTACAGTCACTGCAACCTCCGCCTCCCAAGTTCAAGTGATTCTCCTGCCTCAGCCTCCCGAGTAGCTGGGATTACAGGTGCGCATCACCACGCCCAGCTAATTTTTGTGTTTTTAGTAGAGATGGGGTTCGTTTCACCATGTTGGCCAGGATGGTCTCAAACTCCTGAACTTGTGATCTGCCCGCCTCAGCCTCCCAAGGGGCTGGGATTACAGGCATGAGCCATTGCGCTCGGCCTTCTTCTTTTTAAAGAGTGGGGTCTCCCTCTGTTGCCCAGGCTGGAGTGCAGTAGTGCAATCATGGCTCACTGCTGCGTCAACCTCCTGAGCTCAAGCAATCCTCCCACCTCAGCCTCCTGAAAGCTGCGGCTACAGGTGTGCACCACCATGTCTGGATGGCTTTTTCTAAAATATTTTGCAGAGATAGGGTCTTGCTATGTTGCCTAGGGTGGTCTTGAACTCCTGGCCTCAAGCGATCCTCCTGCTTTGCCCTCTCAAAGTGCTGGGATTATAGGTATAAGCCACTGTGCCCAGCCTATTTCTATGTCTCTTTACTGGTTTATTGTCAGTCTGATGGTGGAGGTGAGTTTGGGCACAGTCTTGGTAAGCAAGGCTGAGAGAGGAGGAGTCAGGAGATTGGCAAAATCGTTGGGGGATTGAGGGCTCAATTAGAGGAAGGGACTTTGGGGTGGGACTTGAGGGACCAGTAGACATTTCTTTTTTTGAGATGGAATCTCACTCTGTCGCCCAGGCTGGAGTTCAGTGGCATGGTCTCAGCTCACTGCAACCTCCGCCTTCCGGTCTAGATTGATGGAAGGAGCTTATCCATCTCTTCCACCCAGGGCTTGGTGCTCTGTAGAGGAGCTCAGCTGGGGTGGGGGGGAGGGTTGTCATTGCTTCTTCTATGTGTGAATCCAAACTCTGGAGAAGGACGTGTGTGTGTGTGTGTGTGTGTCTGTGTGTGTGTGTGTGTGTGTGTGTGTCTGTGAGGTCTGGGGCTTCCCTCCTAGATGGATTTGCATGTACTTGACTTTGAAAGGAAAGAGAAACAGACAGAAGCCTTAGACACCTGAGTAGGAGGGACAAGCCCTGGCTGCCTCTTCTTATGTTCCTTGTGTTAGCTGTAGCCACGCACAACCTGTATACTATCGCTGGGTGTCCAGACCCACCAGGTAAGGCCCCGGCCAGGCTGGGGCCCAGGTGTGGTCGGGACTCAGGGTACAGAATCCCCTCCATGGGGCAGCTGAGGCAGAGACCAGGGCTTGAGGGATGGAGGGAGGAGGGAATGGCTGGGCTCTGACTTGCCTTTCCCCTGGAAGGGACCATGGAGGAGGAGGAGGAGGATGACTATGAGAACTCAGCACCTCCCTACAAGGACCTTCCTCCCAAGCCAGGTAAGACGACTTTTTGGAGTGTGACCTGGGGGAATATAGGGAGCAGGGTCTCCAGGGGGCGTTGGGTAGGCATTGTAGACACACAGTCTCCTTTGTACTCAGCCCATGCTGGGCACCGTGGAACCCACACCCTGCCAGGAGGATCTGCCAGTCTGATGGGGGAGGCAGTTCTGGGCACAGCCTTGGTGAGCAGGCTGAGAGGAGTAAGGAAATTGGCAAAATCCTTGGGCGATTGAGGGCTCAATTAGAGGAGGGACTTTGAGGTGGTACTTGAGGGATGAGTAGACATTTCTTATTTTTTTTTCCTTTCCTTTTTTTTTTTTGAGACAGAGTCTCCCTCTGTTGCCAGGCTGGAATGGAATGCAATGGTACAATCTCAGCTTACTTCAACTTCTGCCTCCTGGGTTCAAGCGATTCTCCTGCCTTAGTCTCCTGAGTAGCTGGAATTACAGGCATACACCACCATGCCTGGCTAATTTTTGTATTTTGAGTATAGACCGGGTTTCACCATGTAGGTCAGGCTGGTCTTGAACTCCTGACCTCAGGTGATCCGCCCTCCTTGGCCTCCCAAAGTACTGGTGTGAGCCACTGCGCCCGGCCTCTTTTTTCTTTTTAAGACGAAGTCTCACTCTGTCACCCAGGCTGGAGTTCAATGGCCCGATCTCGGCTCACTGCAACTTCACCTCCTGGGTTCAAGCAATTCTCCTGCCTCAGCCTCCTGAGTAGCTGGGATTACAGGTGCGCACCACCAGTCCTGGCTAATTTTTGTATTTTTAGTAGAAATGGCGTTTCACTATGTTGGCCAGGCTGGTCTCAAGCTCCTGACCTTGTGATCTGCCCGCCTCAGCCTCCCAAAGTGTTGGGATTACAGGCTTGAGTCACCACACCCAGCTTTCTTTTATTTTTATTTTTTTTTTAAAGAGTGGGGTCTCCCTCTGTTGCCCAGGCTGGAGTGCAGTAGTGCAATCATGGCTCACTGCTGCATCAACCTCCTGGGCTCAAGCAATCCTCCCACCTCAGCCTCCTGATAGCTGGGGCTACAGGTGTGCACCTGGATGGTTTTTTCTAAAATTTTTTTTTGCAGAGATAGGGTCTTGCTGTGTTGCCCAGGCTGGTCTTGAATTCCTGGCCTCAAATGATCCTCTTGCTTTGACCTCCCAAAATGCTGGGGCATGAGCCAACTGTGCCCAGCCAATTTCTATGTCTCTTTACTGGTTTATTGTCTCTCTGGTCTAGATTGAAGGAAGGAGCTTATCCATCTCGTCCACTCAGGGCTTGGTGCTTTGTAGGGGAGATCAATGGGGAGGAGACTGTTGTCATTGCTTCTTCTATGTGTGAATCCAAACTCTGGAGAAAGACAAGTGTGTGTGTGTGTGTGTGTGTGTGTGTGTGTGTGTGTGTGTGTGTCTGTGAGGTCTGGGGCTTCC